GAAGAATACGGTACACATTTATTGTTAAATGAAAATAAAGGAAATTTATTACCTGTATACGGTACCGCAGTACAGTAGTTGTCAACACAAACCAGACAAACTGTGAATCCTACAGTATCAAGAATTTACTCATTTATTCAATGACAATCATGTCATCATCTTCTGGAACATTATCATAACAATCCAATTCCTAAATTTCCTGGTGAGTTTCTTGTGACTCTATTTCTTTCAGAATCAGTGGACCAAATCTCTCATGTTTAGCCTAGGGGTGGGGGGCCTTATTTTGGGGGGAATGCCTTATATTTCACTCAGAAGGAAACCTGTAAGTAGGTCTCATTTTCGGAGGATGTCTTATTTTCAGGGAAACACGGTATTTCTATGGAGTTTGGATTAATATTTATTATCTAAAACCACAGATTTCCTTAAGTTGACCCTTCACTTTCAAACATCTGCATTTTCCAATAGTGACTACTCTGGTGCACATTACAAGGTCAGATGGTCTCAAACACAGGCATTTAATTTATGATCATGTTGCTTCCCACATGAGCAACTCTAGGTGGTGTGATCCAAGGTAAAGCGAAGCAAGTTTATTCAAATGTGTACCAAAGAACAGAATGACTAATGATAATCTAATAAGCTTTGTTGTAAAGTTTAAATAATTAAATCTCCTGCAGTCCTTATATTAGTTTTTTAGTTACAGCTCAAATAATTATTTTTTTGTTTCTACTAAAGTTTATCAATGCTAAATGAGTCTCCTGGTCAATGCCAAATTCAGCTAATAAATAATACAGCTAATAAGTGAATTGTAGATCATATATCATACATTAAATCAATCTCTACTAACAAAAGCCGAGGTGATCATCACGCGAGACATCGTCAGAAGATGGCCACCACAAGATGGCCACCACAAAACCAAGTTGGCGGCATAGGTAAATACCTAAACTGCTGCCTCACACAACAATATCAAAACTACAACTAGAAGACAAAATGGACACCATCCATAACCACAGGAAAGCTGACTGAGTGGAAATTATACAACTAGAAGGAAAGAGGAAAGAAAGCACATTGAGACTCAGAGGAGCTGCAAAAGGCTGAGGTACGAACATGCACACGCACGTGGAGTGGACAGGCAGCTAACTGCACTGGCGACTGAGTGCATGGTTTGCTTTACAAGACTTTGCGAAGAATATGATTGCCTAACCAATGTGCTGTACACCTGAAATTATACAATATAATATTGAAGGTAAACTGTAAATGAAAAATTTTCTAAAATAAAAAAATGAATAGGAAAATTTTCACACACACACACACACACACACAAAACACACAAGCTAGAGGCACTTTGAGAACAAGCTCCACCCTTATTCCTCCTGGACATGTGCCATCCATGCAGTGTGTTTGGGTGTGCACAGACTATAATACAAAGGTGGAGTGAGGGTGCTGAGAAAATAAAGCAGAACCAGAATTGGTGTATAGCTAATGGATAACAGTACTTGGGGATTAAATCATAACTTTCATGTTGTGAAACATTTGTACAATGAAGTATAAAATATATTGAGAAAATATAAATTTAAAATGGAGCCATAAACTTAAATGCCATTTAAGATGTAATAAATGTCCACTCTACCATTATATCAGGTACTGTGCTAGGAACAGGGCCTTGTCCTGCCCCTCTTCTCAAGGGAAGATCCAGGGTACAGCAGAAAAAACACAAAGCCAGCAGTCTGGTCATAACTAATCAAAAACCTTGTGCCCAGGCCCAAACATGGGACCATTGAAAACTTAGCCAGTGGCTGAGCTGATTTTTCCCTGAGGTTATGTTCAATATAGAACTGATGTAATCAGAAAATGGAAGTCAGTGAAACTGACTTTAAGAAGCTGACATTTATTAAATGTTATAGAAGTTTGAGGAAATTCTCCACTCCTGATTACATAAAAATAGACAGGATATTAAATGTTACTGATTTGATTAACAAATAAAGCCAGAAGATTTGGTCTCTGACACTTCAGGGGATTCCTACTGAACTGCCAAAGAACTAGAGTTAGTTCTTTGCAAAGAGGGGCTGCCCAAATTTTTTTAAAAAGTACAACTGTGCCCATTTTCATTAACACATCAATGACACTTAAATTACATGGCTGGGTTAAGTTCAGACTATGATACTCATTACTTCGTATTTAATAATATAATTCTGGCTGCAAATACCACTTCCTTCAGAACTGGTGATCCCAACTAGGATTAGCATAAATCCATTCACTCATTTAACCACTATTTGTGAGTCACTACTAAATGCCAGACTCTGTGCTAGGCACTGAGGTTGTAGCAGTGAGCACAGGGAAGACTTGATTTCTGTGGGGCTCCTTCTTTAAAATATGTTCAATCAAGTGCCACCTCCATACCTCTATGGCAGATAACTGCTCATTAGTCACAGTACTGTCGCCTGCCAAGCCTAGACTGCTTGAGGACCTTTCTCAACATGCTGCTATGAGAATATTACCAAAGGTAGAGCACAAGATGAAACTTATTAGCCATCCAAATGCTAACCAAACTGCACTGAGTCACCTGTAGTTCCCCCCAAAATTCTACTGTCTTGGTTCATGTCATTTTCTGTTTCTGTCTTTCGCCTCCTTCTCCTCTACCACTGTGAACATCCAAATCAACTCTCTGAACAGGTCAAATGCTCTGCCTTGATATTCCCCCAATCTCCCATTTGGACACAATTCTTCCTCTTCTGAACCTGTTTCTCCCCCTTTTTGTGGTACCTAATAAAGTACATGTCTCTCATGTATGCATCTTAAGGATAAAAAAATGTCTTTTATATCTTTGAATGCCTCATATTATCTATCATACAGCTTTGCACATGTACACATACACACACATATATACACACACACATGAAATCACATGCTAAGCACTGGTTCAATTAGAGAACTTAGGTTGATGAAGAGAACTAATAAGTACACTTGGGAAAAAGCTTATTGGGTATCTATGTTCAATGGGGTATAGCATTTCTACTCTTCTGACTATGAATTTGCATTAATAAGGCAAATCGCTTTTAAGTTTGTTTATGTAAAAGAAGAAAAGTTATATTTGATGTAAAGAAATAGTACAGTAGATTCTTAATCTGAGTCATGCACTCCTGGCTGCTGTGATGCCTCTGATACTGTATGTAGCATAGGTATGTTTTCCCCAGGGAAAGGACTCACCAGATCCTCAACAACTAAATTATACAGCAACTGACTGATGCTGATGGAGATGTTTTTGTGTTTGTTCTCACAGGTCAAAATGGCATATTGGAAAGAGCCCATTTACTGCTATTTCCAGGTTTACATCTCTCAGGATGATCCTGGTAATTTCCAAATGGTTTTTCCTATGTACACTGTGCCCACAAAATAAAATATGAAAAAATGAAGCCATAAACATAAAGATTGAAGTTTTTAGCACATAAATGTCAAAATGATCAACAATATCTATTAATCTTCCATATTTTCAGAACCCAATAAACTTCCATGAACTCAGGTTTGTTTTGTTTTTTGTTGGTTTTTGTTTGTTTGGGTTTTTTTTTTTGATGTTATGTATGTACATTTAGGAAACACATCTCCAAAAAGAAAAAAATTAAAATGTATTTGTTAAGGTATTCAGATTAGTAATTAATAGCACTTTTTCAACCTGGGGAAATATAAACAATGGACTAGGGAAATAAAATGCACATCCTTAAGACAAGTATTATTATTGAATTAAAGTTTATTTAAAACCATGCAAGAGTTTCTCCATGAGTATAAGTAGATTGATTCATATGATAGCTATATTTACAGATACCAATAACTATAACTTTTGTCCACAAGACATACTAAATCAAACAATGTGATTAATTAAAGGTTATCTTTTTTTAAAGAATTTAAGCCACAAAGATGATTAGTCAGTTGCTTGTGAAACCTCTTATTTAAAAAAAAAAAAAATATTTTACTAAATCTAATGTATACAATGAATTAGTGAGCAATCAAATCCAAATACATTTCTCAGAGTATGCCAGAAGTAAGCAAATGATATTAATAGAACCAAGATCATTAAAAAGTAAAGGATTTTTTAATAAATGGTAATATAAAACATCATGGCACATTATCATTATTGGACATGGAAACACAGTAAGACATGTTTCAATTTTGACTTTTTGTTGATCCTATAAAGCTAAAACAAAATCCCCAACAGAACAAGAAAATGATAAATTCTAGAAAGTGAGACATAAAGCAGACTTCTCTTTAAGAACATGCAATTCCCTACAAGTAATGTCTCATCTCAATGCATGAGGAAAAGCATATTTAAAATTCAAACAGAGCTGTCAGCCGCCAGGGGAACAACTCTCCATCTGCTTCATCAACAGAGACAGACATTAGCTGGGTGATGACACAACTCCTTTGAATGTTTATAATTTTAAAAATTAGTGACAACTCACTTATTCTTTTCTACTTTATTGATTTACACATTTCAAATATGGCCATGTTCATGACCAAATATGTACAAACATTTTAAAAAATGAAAATAACAATTATATACAGTTTGAAAAATCAAATTGTAACTATGACACCTTTTATCTAGTCCAATGACTACAGACTTTCCAACACCAATAACTATTAGATATTGCATCAGGCCAAACGAAAGTTTACAATTTACCTGCTTTTAAACTGGCAATAGCTACATGAGCAATGCCATATGCAACAAATCAAAGTCATTACTATTAATTGAAATCAATTTTACCATTCATATTAAATTCAGATGTCTGGATCCCAGATAGCTGGGTATGAAATATTTAAATCTGCCAAAGGAATTAAATATTTTTCTTCTTTTCTTTTAATATAATCCACTATATAATAGTGAACTAAATATACTTGTTTCATAGAAACAACTTACATTTGCCAATACAGGGCAAATGGTCTATATACAGATACATTAGGACTGCCTAACTGACAGTGAGTGTTGCCGACCAGGCTCCCAGTCAATAGAGCTAATACGGTGGAGCTCTCTGCTGAATGGACTTTCCCTTCAGGATACGTCGGATCTGGAATGGAAATGAATAGGATTTGTAAGTTTTCTTTTTTATGGTCAGCTTCAAAAAGAACCCAGGATCCACCTTATATACACATAAATCCTTAATATACTTCAAGTCAAAACAGCTGTTCTGATACCCAGGAATAAAATATCTGCACATAACTACATAGATCATAGGAAAACCCCTAGGCTCATTCAGAGCCTAATGGTTGATGTAAACACCAGACTGACAAATTTTCTTAACAATCTCTCAGTCCACAGCAGACAAAAGCAAACAAATTAGAGGAATAAGATTAGGGTGAGAGATGCAAATGACAACTGCAGGAAGAAGACACATGACCAGAGTCTGAATGACTACAGTTTGACAACAGAAGAAAAGGAAAAAAGACCCTCCCTACAAACACACACACACCAAAAAATACAAAAGCAGAGAGTAATCTGAGAACATTAAAAGTCAAATCCTGAGAACATCGCTGTATGACTACACACCACAAACCTGAAGTAGAAGCAAACACTAGGGTTAGGACATTGCCATTTAATATTCACAATGGTTCCTATCCATGGAACTTCTGTAAGCCTCATTTTCTTAGCTGAACTCTTATACTGCAAAGTTTTCATAGCTATTAAGTGTATGCATGAGAACTTCACAAATTAAAGAGCTCTATCTTAAGTTATAAAGAGCCCTTACAAATATGGGTTCCTATGACATTATGGTCATATGAGGGATATAAATCAAAGAAACAGCTAAATTGCACTCCATATAATTTATAATTATGAAAATATGTAATGACCTACCTATAGCCATAATCACCCTCATTTCCCCCAGGGAAAAATTTCCATAAAAAATATCTCAAGTTCTTAAAAGATTCAGTTCTTATTATCGAGAAAAGTTCAGTCATGTGAAACTGTTCAATCTCTGAAGATAATATATAAGCAAATGATGAGTAAAGTATAATTTTGTTTAAAGTATAAAATAGTTTTAGGTTCTGACTGCATTTTAAAAACCTTCCTATTTCTTATTTAAAATCAGTTACTATAATAGAAATAATCAGACGTTGACTGAGCACTACTCTGAGCCTGGGAATTCCCTGGACACACTTCAGACACTGACTCATGTAACAGCACACACACGGGTGGAACCTGCCTGAGGAGCATGTCCACCCTGAACAAAACCACCTCCCTTTACGTTTCAGACCGAGTGTCTGAAAGCTCTGCCTGTCCCTTCTGTCACCCTCACCTGCTCTCCCACGGGGCCATCAGGAACCAAATGCACTGGCTGCTCGTTCTCCAAGTTCCGAGTACTTGGGTCCGCTCCCTTCCTCATCAACAGGCGGACTGCGTCCAACTGCGTCACCCGATACTGCAGGCTGGCAGCAACGTGGAGCGCAGTGTTTCCATTGTAGGCCTGAGTCAACGAGACAAAAACGATGCCCATCAGGAAGGGGGACTTTCATGAGAACAACTCGAAAGCTTGAAAAAGGTGTAAGAAAAGTCACTCCAACTCCTTGTGAAGTTACTGAAGCTTTCTAACGGTACCTTTGCATTCACAAAAGACAGGCAACTGGGCAGCTCCAAAAAGAGGCGAATGAGTTCCAGATTTGCTTCCTCAGCTGCCAAATGCAGGGCTGTGCGGCCACTTTTACGATCCTTGTTAAAGGCAAGAGGGGAAAAACGTGACCATCCAGACAGCATGCCCCATCATGCTTTTCTCCCAGTCTCCCAAATTCTGATTCAAGCCTTCCTTAACCCCAAATGAGATGAAATTTCTTATTCCTGTTAAATTCCTATTAATCTGCCTACTTGCCTCTTATCACAGTCTAACTTTACATACAGGGGGTGGGGGGAGGGCATAAAATGTAGAAACACTAACGATACTGCTTTACAAGGACTATAATGTAATACAGTAAATGATTTATTATGTATCTGACTACGTAGACTTATAATTAGTTACATTCCTCACCTCAATTAGAAGGTCCCTAAGGACCCAGTAGCTTATATTCAGGCCTCCCTCCCACCCCCAGAACCCCTAACTCAGTGCATTGTACATAAGAGATACTCAGTAAATAAATCTCAATTTTACAGAGAAAAACTATTATCCATTCTAAAAAGCAGAAGACTAAGTCTAGATCCCACAATAATGAAGCAACCTTACAAAAAAACACAACACTGATTATTAGTGATAAAAATGAAGCCAAAAGGACAATATCAATTTCAAGCATTTTATTGCCTTTCAAAGACTAATTTATTTCATAGCTAAAGGATCTCTTGAATAATAATCCAAAGATTAAAAGCAAATCAAGACAGTAAATCAGATGATCTTTTAAAATCTAAGCTTCTTAGCTACTCAACTCCATTCATTTAAAAAGATTGAGGGTTGGAGGGGGAGTTTTAATCTCTATTTGGGAACAGGTCTTTGTTATAACCACTTCCCCCCATCCCATATCCAAACTCTTCTTAGCTTCCACTGCTAAGAATTTACCTTAGCTTCCACGGCTGCCCCCATTTGAATCAGACACTTAATGGTGTCAACCAGACTCTTATTCTTCAGTAAAAGCTCCTGAACTTCAGGCGAATGTGGCTGTTCATTTCTCTGGAGTTCATGCACCACAGCATTATGGGCCACGACCGCACAGTGCAGAGGAGTCAGGCCTAGAAAAGTATAGTAAAGCAGTGGTCAAGCATGCCAGCAAGTCTTTCGGTTGTTCTATAATTACAAAGCTTGAGGATGGCCACAAATGGGCTCCACAAGAACTAGTAAGGCAATCTGAATAGTTCCTCCATGGGTTCTTAGTGCTAATTTCATCTATAGAATATTTTAGCATTAATTACCTCCCTTTCTTCTTGGTATGAAACTCAATATAACTTTAGAACTAATGGGCCCCTCTCTATAAACGGGTTTTGTTTATTTTTACCCAATAAAGTGTCATTTGCTTACCATCATAGTTAGTTGCCTCGAGATCCACAAACTGATTGCTCATCACTGCACCCTTCTGAATTGCCTGAAAATTTTAAAAACGTGTATCTGTTAGCAAGAGACAGCTACATGAGTATTCTAAGAAATGAATAAGTGAATTCAACCCACATCCAACATCTAATACTCAAGCCCCATCTCTCTGGCCCTGTGCTAACGGGAGCCTCGCTCACGGCCTCTTACCTGAAGCACCTGGGAGTGGCCCTTCTCAGCACAGACGTGCAGAGGGGTTCTCCCCCAGCAGTCGGTGGTGTTCACCTGGGCTCCAAGGTTCACCAGATCCTGCACAATAAGGTGCTGATTGGCAGCCACCGCCACCTGAAAGGCACTCTGTGGACATTCAGAAGAAGGGAAAAAAAAATGTTTTTAAAACAGGTAATACTAATGATATATGAACCTACACTAAGACTGAGGGGAAAAACCCACATAGAAAAAAAAGAAGAAAAAAAAACCCCACATAGAAAACCCTATTAATAAATAATAAGATACTGTAATACAAGAAAACTAAAGTAAACTTATGGTGTGGCTTTATTATACCCAATTAGTCTTTGATCAAATAACTATGAAGTTAATGTTAATAACTTCAAGGGTGATGGTAGCAAACAGTCAACCTCTCAAAGTTAATATTAACTAGACTCGTTTGGTCTTGGGCTCTGAAGCTATCTGTAGATGAGTACGAGGCTGGCTGTCATTCTCTTCACAGCGACCACATCTTTGCCACTCCGCTCTGTTGGGTCCTCACCTGCCCGTTGTGCTCTTTAACATCCAGCATGTGGAGTGCATTCATCTTCCTTGCAAGGACATAGGAAAGTGCCCTTCGCCCTTGGGCAACAGCAATATGGAGGAACCTGGAAGACAAGGAAAGGAAAAGAGGTGAATTACTTCTGATTTCACTAAGTTCATTTTTCAAAAAAAATATTCCTTCAGCCCCTTTCTTAATATGTTGGTACACTCAAAACATTGCAGAGCATAAATTGCCCTGTCTACTAAGTGGATAATACATCTGAGTAGCAAAGGGATGAGTCACTTTAAATCTATTATTTTTAATATTTATAAAAACCCTATGAAGGAGGTGTTGTCATTTTACATGTTAAGAAACAGGCATAGAGAACTTACATAACTTGCCCAAGGCCAAAGGTATCAGGCCAACTAAGAATTCAACCTACAAATCAACTCACAGTTGACCATGACCAACTAATCATAATCGGATGTTCTCTATAGATTCAGAAATTATTCAAAGACAATACATATGTTTTTATTAACTTAGACAAGGTAATTTGTTCAGCCAGAAAAAGAAAAGAAAAGAAAAGAAGAGAAGAGAAGAGAAGAGAAGAGAAGAGAAGAGAAGAGAAGAGAAGAGAAGAGAAGAGAAAGAAAGAAAGAAAGAAAGAAAAAAAGAAAAGAAAGAAAAAAAGAAAAGAAAAGAAAAGAAAAGAAAAGAAAAGAAAAGAAAAGAAAAGAAAAGAAAAGAAAAGAAAAGGGAAACTCTTTCTTGAAATATTAGCTATCATTGAACAGCAGTTTCTACCTACAGTCTTCATCTCAATTAGCCAACCATTTGGTAAGGTCTAATTTGGTATAGCTAACTCCTCTGCCCATTATTAGGTACATGAGATAAAGAGATACTCACGTGTCACCATCTGCATCCTTTGAAAGAAACTGGTCTTGGGAGATATTTGCCAGTTTGCCTTCTTCCTGCTCTACTTGCCACTGAAAAAGTGACTTCCCTAACTGGGTGGTGTTCATGGAGTCTCCGATGATGTTCTGGAATGGCAGAGAGGTGCTTACAGGCACAGAGCCTGCCTCAGGCCTCACCATGGCCTCACAGGCACTGTGCGGCACCATGCTGAAGTTCTGCAGTTGGGCGTCATTTTGTGGCTGAACACTGGGGGAAGTCTGAATGGGAACAGCAACATTCTCACATTCCCCGTGACTCGTTAAAAGGGATGCAAAACTTTGGTCTGTGCAGAACTGTAGTGCTTGGTCACCAAAGAAGTTTGCTTCATAGTTGGGAGACTGGCAAGTTCTGGAATAAGGACTGTATTCCAGAGCTGAGTTGTGGGTATAATGCTGCTGCGACTGTGGCTGCATGTTCTGGTTCTGAGGAGAATACTGGTACATGGAAGCCTGATCCATCATGTGTGGGGAGCTGCTGACTTGCAGAGGTTGGTACTTCTGAGGTGGACTGAAGATCTGCCCTCCACGGGAGTCCTGGCACTGCTCTCGGGGAGAGCCCTGGGGGACCACCGCAGGGCTCATCCAGCTAACTTGGACAGTATTCAGGGAAACCGGGCTGTATTCATTCTTAATGTTGATAATGTTCTGAAGCAGATTGGCACTGCTGTCCTGCTTGGGTTCATTGGGGTGAGCATCTTCCATGCTCTCTGCGGGTGTTGGTGTTTGAGGTGGTGTCTGGACAGAAAGAAAAAGCAAATTACATACTCCCTTCCAAAATCATTCCAGGAATAATTTCTCTCTATAGAATATAGTTTAATTTCTGAAAGGCATCAGAGGAAAATAGTGAGACACTTACCAAAAACTGGGTGTGCAGCAAAGCTGGCCTTTTACAAGCTGGTCCATCAGACAACGAATCTGGTCCTTTCCTTTTCCCACTATACGACACAGTGTTTGTCAACTCTACACCCAAAAAAGGAATGTGGAATCTGTGATCATTTTATTTGGAATATTTTACCCATAATCACATTACATTATTTTATCCTAAAGGCCCCATAATATCATGAATAGAAGTAATTCTTACCTGCAAATTGCTCTCTGTTCACACCTTGTGCCTATAAGGAAAAAACAGTTTCCAATTTAGTATAATATTAAATGGCTTTCTGCTTGATATAGATCAATAAACATACTTATCTCTCCCACTCTTTACAGCTCACCATAAACCTTTGATGCAGCTGTTCTATCAATATTTATTTTCTATCTTAATTTTCATTCTATTTTGCAACTTCCCCCCATTTGCCCTTTCACCTTAGTTCAACTATGTCAAGATAAAATTAACAAGGCCATTTGAGCTTTCCCTTTCTTAATCAAGATGTTCCATTTCAGTTGAACCCCATTTATTTCTTTGCCCCAATTTCATTCATTACATTTATCTTGTCCACCTACCGAGTGCCTAGCACTGAGCTAAGTGATAGGAAACGACAGACAGCAAGACACATATGCTCCCTGTCCTATGGACTTGGTGGGTCAGCAAAAACTAATAGCCCCCAAAGACTAATCTTCCTGACCTCTGACCCAAAACAAAAAAATAAGAGGTGCCACCTTAAAATCATCTGTGGCTTGAGCAGAAGCCTTTTGCTTGTGGCTTCGGATGTGCAGCAGGAGCTCCTTCACCGAGTTCTTCACACGAACACCTTGAAAGGGTCCTCTCTGCTGCCTTCCAACCCCCATATGGGGCTCAGCTGTTCAAAAGAAAAAAGAAAAAAAACATATCCCAATTAAGTCACTGCACAGACACAAATCTTAGGAACCTCAAAAGCATAGCTGTCTAATGTATCAAGTCCCCAATCACCAGAATGCAAACCCTTGCCAACTTGCTCTGGTCAATAGCCTACATGTCATTCCCCAGTCCTAATTAAGGTTGGATGCTGCCTGAATGCTTTGCCCCGATGGAGCACCCTAAAGAATTAAAGCTCATACAATTGTGGTTTCAGGGATCTTCAGAGCCAACAGACAACCCAAATTAAACCTGTCTCTCAGCCCTTTCAACCCGTCTCTCAGCCCTTTCAACCCATGGGACAATATCACAGATTTGCCATGATAACTCTCAGAGATCTATCATTATCCTTCACTTCCGAAAAACCTTGGGGGATCAAGGGATACATGATGAATTTTTAGCTTTTCAAACCAAAGGCTTGGTGCCCACATAAAATTGTAAAAGTCTATTAACCCCCTAACCTAAGAAAGCACAAAACAAACTTCCTCCAAAGATCTCAATGTACCAAAGTCTAACAATGAACAATGTCTCAGATTTGTTTCTTATTATCTCACTCAGTTCAGTCAACTATGCCAAGAAATCTGCTTGAATTCACTGAGATTAAACACAGTTCCACATACGCACGCAGGATTTCCCCTCACTGACTTTTGGAACTGCTCACAGAGGCCTTCTAAGTAAAAAGGAAATCTGTAATCTCGTTTCATATTTAAACTTTAAAACACACTTTGAAATGTAGTCTGTGAGTACAGCATTCCACTTCTGACCACTGCTATGTCATAACCTCTTGGGATAAGTTGAACACAAAGTAAACATGCAAAAAAGCCAGGAAATGAATAATTCAGCCACCTCACGGACAGTGGGAAAAAGAAGATGGGACAAGAAACAATGCATAATGTGTGTGTGTGTATATATATATATCATAATTATAGGAAAGAAACAGTTTAATGATGGGGCAAATTAAATGACTAGTTAGTTTTACATTTAAGTTAAGGAATATCTTGCCAGAATCTAACACACCATTTCTCTGGAATGCCAGGAGTTAATAATTCAACGTCACAAAGAGAAAAAATGTAGTTTGAGAAATCCCCCAATGGTTATGCCATACACCAGGGAAGTAGCAAAATAGTTTCAACCAGATGAAAGCCAAATGTGGGAGAAAAGGTTCTAATTACACACACACACACACACACACACACACACACACACACACACTTTTACATACAACTAAGTGGATTAAAGTACTCCTTTAAATGAAAATGAAAATTCACTTTTTGAAAGAAGACAACCAAAACAGCAGTGGCTAGCAGTGGGGGAACACCTGAAAAAGAGAACATCCTTTAAATCATGCTGATTAGATTCTCCAACATTTGAGCTTATCTAGAGGTTCTTTAGTCTACCCACTGTGGCATCCTGTTTTCCCCCAAATTATGCAGCTCGGTTCCTTTAGAAAAGAAAGTAACCAGCCCTGGCCAGGAGCTCAGTTGGTGAGAGCACCCGTCCTCCCAATACACCAAGGCTCCCAAGGCTACGGTTTGATCGTTAGCCAGTGAACAAACATATAATAAGTGGAACAACAATGAATGCATAAATAAGTGGAACAACAAATTGATGTTTCTCTTCCTTTCCCCTTTCCTACCTCTCCCCACCTCTCTTTCTTTCTCTCTCTCTCTCATCAGTAGAAATTTTTAAAATGAAAGAAACTAACCAACTCACAACCAAAGAAAGAAAACATTGTTTCTTTGCTAGATGTGGCTTAACCATCCCAAAGCACAGAACAAAATCCAGAAGCGCGGAGATTCTGGGCAGACTCCCACTGGCCAAGAGCACTAAAGAAACACACATTGAGTTGGTTTTCCGTCCAGCTTCACCTTCCAAAGTGGTCATATCGCTTTCCTTTCTTGAACATCAAGTCCTTTTACTTAAAATCTCCATAAACACTTAGGAAGAACCAACTACATTATACCCAAAACCTCTCCATAATATGTGAATTCTGGCTTAATAAAGTTGTTTTAAAAAGAGAAAATCTACTGTGGTTCGGGTTCGTATTCCCTCCACTGCATCACCACCCTCTCCGCACCCCAGAAGTCAGAGTTTTGTTCCCAAAACTACGAAGCCAGCTGTAGGGAGCCTGGGTTTCTCAGGCCGTCAAACGCCCGGCACTGGGGAAGGCATCCGGCAGTCGCCTAATCAATGACCGCCACTATGGAAGGAGCACAGGCACTTCGGATCCGAGTGGGGCGCGGGGGGTGCAGGGGTCGCCCCGCCAGGACGCTAGGTACCTTGCATCCGCTCGGCGCGGGCGCTGCCTCTCGGCCGGGACTCCACGGCCCCGCAGGAGGACACGGCGGAGGCGGAGGACAGGTCGGAGGAGTCGGAGCCCGGGGAGCCGGGCGCCGAGGGCCCCGAGGCCGAGCAGCCGGCGTCGCAGGCGCCGGGGGCGGCGGGCGGGGACGCGCTGTAGAAGTAGGCCAGGTTCAGCGGGCTGGTCATGAGGCCGCAGTCGCCGGCCGCGTCCAGCAGCCCCTCTGCGCCGCGGCTGTCGTCCAGCAGCTGGTCCACGATCATGCTCCCGGCGCGGCGCGCGGGGGCTGCACACCGGCGGGCTGCGCGGCTGCGGCTGCGGCTGGAGCTGAGCTGCGGCTGGAACTGAGCTGCGGCTGGAGCTGAGCTGCGGCTGGAGCTATGCGACAGGGTCGGGACCGGACGGAGAGGACGGAGGACGGGCGAGCACGGGCGCAGCCCCGCGGCCCAGCTTTATACCCGGCCCCCGCGGGGCGGGGCGGGGCGGGGCGAGGGGGCAGCCTCCGCGACGGCCCCGCGCGCCCTGCCCGGCCATTGGAGCGGCTGGTCCCCTCCCCGCCCCGCCTCCGGATGCGCTCGGTTTCCAGTAAAATGTCCAGGATGAGGCAATGCGCCTCCGCCGCGCCCCGCCCGCCCGGCTCCGCCCGGCCCGACCGGTTGCTCCCTGGCCCTTCACCTGGAAACCCCGCTGGAGAGCGGCCCCCCGCCCCGCCCCGGGCGCCCGCCCGCGGAGAGGCCGCCAGCCCTGCCCTTGGCGCCCCGCTGGCCCCGGCGCCCCGGGAGGGGGCGTGCGCTGGGCCTGGGGTTGTAGACGGAGGCGGGGGTGGGGGAGACGGGGGCGGTCGGGGGGCGGGGAGGCGGCCGGGAACCGGTCGGCCAGGTTCCCGGGGCTGGAAGTCCCGGACCGTGCGCGCCGCACCCTCTGCCGGGCTCCTCGCCAGCCCGAGTGAAGGCTCTAAAGACGCACCTCCTCCTGCGCCTCAAAGCCACTTCTGTCCTCTTAAATTCAGAAAACTTTTGCTGCCTATATTCCTTTCCACAGGGCCTACACTGAATAAGATTTGAAGCTAATTTTCGGTTTTAAAAACTTACAACCTGGCCCTGGCTTAGAGGATAGAGCGACGGTCCCGAGGACTGAAGGGGGTCCCGTGTTGGAATCTGGTCCAGGGCACGGAAAAAAGTGAAATAAGTTGTAATCTGGGCAACAGCTAAACTTTTTTTTTTTTTTGGTGGGTAGGAGGAGGAGGTGTGTGTGTGTGTGTGAGAGAGAGAGAGAGAGAGTCCGGAAATTTAAAAAGCAGTGCCCTACAGTACTGTTCCCTTCAATACTGGAACAAAGTCATCTTGGCAAAATGGTAAGTGTATTTGTATATGTAATTTATTTATTCTGCATAACTTTACACTGTGTCTGATAAACATTTTGCTCCTGCCTGTCTTAAAAACTTTTTAAAATCGATTTACGCAAATTATGGAAGTCATATTATTACTTTGTTGAGCCCATGGCTAGGAGTTGGCAAGAGAAAACGATAAATGATTTTGTCTGTCCTTACTATAATTTTGTAGGAACGATAAGTATAACCTATGCTATATTAACAGAAACCGATTATGATGAAGTATCATGAGGGATACAAAGTTCAGTGGGTATCCCGAAAAGAGAAACAAGTCTGGTGGAGGAAAAGAGGTTTTGAGGAAAATCTGTGTAAAGGCAGTGGCGGTTGAGATAGGCACTGAAGGATGTGTGGGATCTCAGCCCACAGCATGGACAGCAGGAGCAAAGAACTAAAATGAGGAGCCGGAAGATGGTAACATGAAATGTAAAAGGTAACTTGGTGTCTTTGGGTGGAGCACTCCAGTGGCAGGCTAAGCATCTCCACTGGGTCTTTATTTAGTAAACATTGAGTGAACGTGAAAGACCTAGTTGGCAGACAAAACTAATCTGAAAGCACCTTAGAGAAGGTAACACTGAGGTACCCAGGGGCCATAGGGGGGAGAGAGGAGGAATGCAATAGCCCAGGAGGGAACTGACCAGACCCTGGGGCAGAGGCATGGGAAAGGGAAAGTAAATGGAAAGAAAGCAGGGCTGGGCAGCATTGCTAGGGCAGAATCCAGAGGTCTGGCCCAGCTGGAGGTGAGGAGCCGTGTAAGGTCCCCAGTCAGGCTCCGGTTTGGGGCTGGATGACAGATGAACAAGGATGCCAGCTTCAGATCGCAGGGAAATTAGCAAAGGCAGAATATTAGGGTTCCAGGAGGGAAGAAGGGACAGAGGGAGGGAGATGGTGAAAAGAGTCGGTGCTAGGACTTAATCTCGGTGTAAGACCCTGGTGGGGATTCCAAAGTAAATGTTTCCTCCTTTCTCACAAGTGTTGAATTGTTCCCAAAACTTCTTGCTGTCTCTCCTCCCCAATTTTTGGACTTTGGTAACTTTAAAAAGAATAAATAAAAAGGAAGCAACTACCTTGATATATCTGCAGAAAGTAAAAAGTTCCTATAATTGCAATTCCTCAAAAGCGAAAATCACTTAAAAGATGCTCCAAAGAATATGTTGGGTCTTTTCAATACAATCTATTGGGATTTTATTACCTCCCCTGTTTAGAGCAATAGCAGAGCGGGCTTTTTAGACATCTTTTGACAATCCAATATTCAGTCACTGTTAGCCATGTCAAGTACAGGTAAGGGGGTGTAATGGTGATGCCCAAAACCACAAGCCTGGATATCCACATGAGCGGGACTCTATCCCTGTGGCTATAAGAACTCAGAGCTCCTACCACCGGAAGCTGGAGCGTGGCTGTGCCATGGGTCACACTCGGAGCCCTGCCCGACTTCCACTCCGCCAGACTGTGCTGCCGCTAGCCACCTGGCCTGAGACAATGCCTGCCTCTCCAACTGCGGCCACCGCCAGAGACAGGGACTTCACAGCTCTGGAACTTTCTATCGTAAAAGTGCCCCGCTCTGTGTGTATCTTCCCTATGACTCTATTGGCTTAATGGGGAGGTCTCCCCTAATAAACCAAGCAACGTCCATTTATTATTTTTATGTATAATAAAAGCCTTAATGGTCATTCAAATAAATTCATAGACAAAAAAATCCATGGCAATTGTCTTTTTCAAAATAAACTCTCCCCTAAAATTATGTACTGTTTCATTTGGTATATAAAAATTCACACCTCGAAATAAGGGCCTCTGGGGGACTATATAAATAAGTAAGGTTGGTGAAAGAGTGATGTCTCAAAACAGTTTGATATGAAATGCTAAAGCAGTCACCCTGTCTGAGAAGGCCACACCCACAGCGGCCATAGGCCTTCCCAGACACAGTCCAGAATTACTGTTAATATCACTTCAAAAGGAAAACAAAAAAATACTCTGCTTCATTTAAATGTTTAAATATACATTCTATTTGGTTGAATGATATGACACTGCCATTGTGCTAACCAAATATGGCTGAGCACTCACTCTGTGGAAGACAGCACCCTGTTAGGAGGACACTGGAAAAGCCCACAGGGAATGACAACCAGGACCAACTGGCCACCCATGTGAGGGAACCATGTTGGGAGTAGACCCTCCAGCTCCGTTAGGCCTTTAGAGGACTGCAGCACTGACCAACATCTTGACTATAGTCTCATGAGCAAACTTGAACTAGAACCCACCCCCTCCCCAAAGCCACCCCCAGATTCCTGACCACAGAAATTACAATAAAAAACAAGCCTTGAAAATTGGCCCAAGGTCACACTGTTCATCATAGGTGGAGAAGAGATTAAAGTTTTCATCTGTCTGACTCTGGAGCCTGATCTCATTTGCTTTAAAAGGGGAGGTTATTTGGTAGTCACAAAATAGTAATGATACGTAGAGTACAGCACAGCAAACATAGTCAACTAGAGGTGTGTGGAGGGTTGGGGGGGTGTGTCCTCAGCCCAGCCTGCACCCTCTCCAATCTGGGACCCCTCGAGGGATGTCCACTGCCCTCTCACAATCCAGGACTACTGGCTCCCAACTGCCTGCATGCCTGATTGCCCCTAACTGATTCTGCCTGCCAGCCTGATCACCCCCTAACCACTCCCCTGCCAGCCCAATCAACGCCTAACTGCTCCCCTGCTGGCCCAATCCCCCCCAACTGCCTTACCCTGCCAATCTGATCACCCCATAACTGCCCTCCCCTGCCAGCCATCTTGTCACCACATTGGGGCAGCCATCTTGATTGAGGGTTTGATGGTCAATATGCATATTACCACTTTATTATATTGGATAATATTATAATGATTATGTATGAGGGCAAGTGGGTACTTAAAATAACAGTGATAATGGGGGGACGGGGGGAGACTACTTGTAAAGTATATGATTGTCTAATCATCTTGCAGTACACTTGAAACTAATATAAAATAATATTGAATGTAAACTGTAATGGAAAAATAAAATATAAAAATAAATAGGTGGATAATTACAGAAGTAAAAAATTCATACTTTTGTTCGTTAGTTGGTTGTTGTTTTTTTAAAGGGAGATCAAAAGACTCATTTTCCTCAAGGTTCAGATGCCCTATCTGCATCTAACAATACAGAAACGGATGAAAGCGACATGTCAGCGTTCCCTGAGCCCTGGGAGGGATAGATTTGTACTGAAGTAACTGGGGAAAAACTGTACGTAAAGAATAAAACTATGATGCCGCTATCATTTGCTTGGCTTTATAGACATTAATAACTTATCTTACTGCGTTTTATACAATGGGACATTGTTGAATTAATTGTATTATGGTGCCAGTTAAGTAAAAAGGTACTGAATTTTTCAATGTAGGTGTAATGAACTTTTAAAAAGCCAAAAATTATTTTGTGCAGCTTTCCAAACTTAAAATGAAACGTCAATGAAGTTTCTTGCAAAGTAAGTTATTGTACAGCATTGGCTGAAGAAGTGGACATTGCAGGTAAAGTGGCCAATAAAGCCTGATAGATTTTATTCTGTAGAATGCCTTCTAGATAAAAAGAAATCCTAGCTAAAGATATCCTAGCTCTGCCACTTCCCAGTGATATGGTAAGTCATCCACTTGAATATTTAACTAAAAACATGAAAACTGATCTTGTCTGCAAAACTGCCTTTTTACCTTAGAAATGGACAGATGTGCAGACTGTCAGGACTTGCTATTTTGGCTGTATTTATCAGGCATCAGCACCAGTTAATCAATGAAGCTCTCTTATATGAATGTCTGACAACAAACATAAGAGGTGCTAAAATATTCAAAGTATACAATAATTTTTTTAATTATCACCATTTACAAGGAA